TTAAAATAATTATTAGATTACATGTGGCACACAGTGTATAAAGATGTAATTTTGTGACATCAGTACTGAAAGGAGTGGGGATGGAGCTATGATGGAGTAGAGTTTTTGTATGTTATTAATGTTAAACTGGTATAAATGCAAAAAGAACTGTTACAACTTTAGGATGTTAAATGTAGTCCCTATGGTAACCGCAAAGAAAATAGCTGTAGAATATATACAAAAGGAAATGAGAAAGAAATTTAAACACTTCCCTAGAGCTTAATACAAAAAAAGACAGTAATGTGAGAAAAGAAGGACAAGGAAACTTAAAGCATATAGAAAACAAATAGCAAAATGGTAGACCTAAACCCTCCTTATCAGTATCAAAAAAGACAGATTGGCAGAATGGACAAAAACACACGATCCAACTGTATGCTGTCTCCAAGAGACTCACTTGAGATCCAAAGACGAAAACAAATTGAAAGTGAGAAGGTGGAAAAAGATACTATGTGCAAATAGTAACCAAACAAGGGGCAGGGGTGGCTATACTATTATCAATCAAAATAGAGTTTAAATTTTAAAAGGTTATTAGAGACAAAGAAAAACATTATATATTAATAAAATGTTCAGTAGAGCAAGAAGATAATAACAGTTATAGACATTTACTTACCTAATCACAGACCACTGAAATATATAAAACAGAAGCTGATGGAATTGAAGTGAGAAATAGTTCTGCAAGAAGAGTTGGGAGGCTTTCATGCTCTACCCACAGCACTGGAGAGGACAACCAGACAGAAGACAAGTAAGGAAACAGAGGACTTAACGCAGTGGACCAACTGTCTCTAACAGGTACATACAAAACACTCTATCCAACAACAGTGTACACAGTTTTTTCAAGTGCGCATGGAACATTTTCTAGGATAGACCATATGTTAAGCCATAAATTAAGACACAAAACATTTTAAAAGATAGATATCATGCAAAATATCTTCTCCAACCACAGGGAATGAAGTTAGAAATCAACAATAGAAGGAAAACTGAAAATTTCACAAAATTGTGTAAATTGAACAACACTCTTTTAAACAATCGATCAAAGAAAAAAAATCACAAGGAAAATCACAAGGGAAATTAGGAGATACTTAGGGACAAATGAAAATGAAAACACAATATGCCAAAACTTAGGCTAAGGGGGATTTTGTAGTTATATAAATGCTTACATTAAAAAATAAAAAAGATCTCTAGCTTTATAACTTAAGGAAATAGAAAAAGATCAAACTAAAACCAAAGCTAGCAGAAGGAAGGAAAGATTAAAGGAGAGATAAATGAAATAGAGAATAGAAAAAGTCAGTGAACCAAAAATTTGTTCTTTGAAAACATCAACAAAATTGACAAATGCTGAGCTAGGATGGACTAAAAAAAGGAGGAAAGACTCAAATTATTGAAGTCAGAAGTGGAAGTGATGACATCACCATCAATTCTACTGAAACAAAAAGGATTATAGAGAGTACTATGAACAATTATATGCCAACAAATTGGAGAACTTAGATAAAGTGGGCACGTTCCTGGAAATACAAAAACCTACCAAGATAAATCATAAAGAAATAGAAAATCTGAATAGACCTATAAGTAAGGAGATTGAATCAGTTAAAAAAAAAAATCTCTTGACTAGAAAAGCCGTGGCTTCAGCAGTGAGTTCTACCAAACAGGTAAAGAATAGTATCAGTCCTCTCAAACTTTTCCAAAATATTGAAGAGGAGAGAATTCTAACTATTCTACGAGATCAGCATTACCCTGGTAACAAAGCCAGACAAAGACACAGGAAAACAAAACTACAGATCAGTATCTCTCATAAACACTGATTCAGAAATCTTCAACAAAATACTAGCAAACTGAATTCAGCCACATAATAAAAGGAATACATACCATGGCAAAGTGGGATTTATTCTTGGAATGCAAGGATGGTACAACATAGGAAAATTTATCTGTGTAATATACCACATTAACAGAATGAAGGGGGAAAAAGATCATCTCAATTGATAAAGAAAAAGCATTTGACAGAGTTCAACACCTTTTCATGATAAAAGCATTAAAAAATCTAAGAATAGAAGGAAACCGCCTCAACATGATAAAAGCCATGTATGAAAAACTCACAGTGAGATTTTTTTCAAAAATAGAAAAACTATCTCAAGGGACCCTGAATAGCCAAAACAATCTTGAAAAAATAAAACTGGATGACATTCTTCCTAATTTCAGAACTTTCTACAGAGCCACAGTAATCAAAACAATGTGGTGCTGGCATAAATACAGACATATAGACCAATGGAATAGAATAAAGAACCCAGAAATAAATCCTCACATATATGGTCAAATAAGTTTTGAAAAGGGTACAAAGACCACAATGGGGAAAGAGGGTCTTCAACAAATGCTGCTGGGACGACTGGATATCCACATACAAAAGAATGGACCTTCTGAAATGAGCTGATTTATAGTAACCTTCACCTAACACCATATACAAACATTAACTCAAATTGGATCAAGGGCCTTCACCTAACACCATATACAAACATTAACTCAAATTGGGACCTTCACCTAACACCATATACAAACATTAACTCAAATTGGATCAAGGGCCTAACTAAAAGACATAAAACATTAAGATTCTTAGAAGAAAACATAGGACAAAAGCTTCACGACACTGGATTTGACAGTGCTTTCTTGAATATGACACCGAAAGCACAGGCAACAAAAGCAAAGTAGACAAGTTGGACTTACTGAAAAATAAAATTTTTACATTAAAGACACTATCAACAGAGTGAAAAAGGCAACTCATAGATGAGAGAAAATATTTATGAATCATATATTTGATAAGGCATTAATACCTAGAATATATAGAGAACTTCTAAAATTCAGCAACGAAAGAACAAACAACTTGATTAAAAAATGGGCAAAGGACTGGAATGACATTTCTCCAAAGAAGATATACAAATGGCCAGTAAGCAGATGTAAAGATGCTCAACACTAATCATTAGGGAAAGGGAAATCAAAATTACAATGAGATACCACCTCATACCCATTAGCAAGGATAATTAAAAAAAAAACAAATATTGTCAGGGATGTAGAGGAACCCTTGTGCATTCCTAGTGAGAAAGTAAATGGTACAGCCACTGTGGATACAATATGGAAGTTCCTTAAAAAATTAAAAAATAGAATTACTACATGATCCAGCAGTATCACTTCTGTCTATGTATCCAAAATAATTGAAAGCAGGGTCTTGAAGAGTAACTGTGTGTCCATGATCATAGCAGTGTTATTCACTATAGCCAGAAGGTGGATAAATGTCCATCAACAGATGAGTGGATTAGCAAATTCTGGAATATATTCAGCAGAATGTTGAAATTCTGACACGTTATAGCATGGATAAACTGTGAGTACATTATGCGAAGTGAGATAAAGCAGACACAACAAGATTAATACTGTATGATATCACTTAAATAAGGTACTTAGCATAGTCAAACTCACAAGTACAGAAAGTAGAAGGGTGGTTGCCAGGATTTGGGCAGAAGGGAGATGAGTTATTTAATGGGTATAGAGTTTCATTTCTGCAAGATGGAAAAGTTCTCAAGATCAGTTGCACAATATTGAATATATTTAACACTACTGACTGTACACTAAAAAATGAGTAAGATGATAAATTTAATGTTATGTGTATTTTACCACAATTTTAAAAATTAGAAAAAGAAAAAAGATCTGAAGTGAAACAATAAAAATTTTCCAGAGTTTCCATCAGAGGCTTTTTAATATTTTCAAGAACGTTATAGGTTGGTACACTGATTCTTTTGTGTGTTTAACTACATTTCAAAACTATAGACTTCTTGATACAGGGGTGTAGATGGATCATCCTCACTTCTCTTAATCATATTTACTATAAATCAGCTCATTTCAGGATAGGGGTTGTGGACAGTTTTACAGACCAGAGGCAAAGCATGATGTATGTTAAGCTTCTGGAGAAAAGAAAACTTTGCTAAGGAAGAGGCAGTAGGTTGCTGCCCACCCTAATGTGGGATGTAGTAGCAGCTCACGGCGGGTGTAACCAAACACCTGGCCAAACTGCTGATTTTTATGTATAGGTTAAAGGTCCAAAATTACAAATTTTATTTGTGGGTGGGTTCCTGGTTTTGGAAATGTTCGTTTTGGGTATCAGTCATATTTGTTAACTTAATATGTAGATTAAAATGAGACTATTCGTAAAACCCTGAACATAATGCCTAATATAGTGCAGCTATTCAGTAACTGCTAGTGCTCATGTTTGAGTGAATTTGATTTTTTTCTGTGTTACAAAAAGTGAACTAACCAGAAAGTTTCCAAAAGTATATTGGAATCTCTTGAAGCTCTAGATTGTAATTTATTGCTGTAATTTATATCATTATCCTGTGACCCTGTGGCATGCTTGTTCATCCTGACTGTTTTCTGATAACTGACTCCCCTGATTCGGTTCTGGGAGGTCTTGTGGATTAGGGAGATACAGAGGGTGGATTCTAAAGAACTCAGCTCTTTGGGAGGAGTGACAGCAGGGTTTAAGAGAAGTGGCTGGAGGTGGAGAATTAGCCTGCCATTGGCTAACATGGGGTTTTAGAGCTGGAAAGGAACCTGGAAGGTGGTTTAGTCTAACCTCTCATTTTATGGCTGAGGAGATAAGTACAGAGAAGTGTGCTGTCTCGTGTCACAGCTGTAATGGAGAAGCTGGAATCAATGGCTCCTAAAGGTCCTGATATCCAAACAGCATAGAACACAGGTTATTGGATTTTTCTTTTTCTTAGAAAGGGCCATGTTAATGACAACATGCATACACCATATTAATTTTTGGAATAGATCTTATACATTAAATAAACTTTAATTAAAAATTTAGACTTTTCAGTTTGTTTAAATAGATGAACTAAACTAACAGTACTGCCAGAAGTCTCATAAGAAAAACTGGTTTTAAAGAAATAAGAAATTCTTGACTGTTTTCTTGCTATTTCTAGGTTAAGTCAGCAAACAAAGAAAACATGGTATTTTGAAGTATGATTAAACTCCTGATGCTGCAGCAGAGGCTAAGAATATTAATGGCCAGATCTAGGTAAGTTGAAGTTTACTTTTTAAAAACTCATTAAGTCCACAAATTATATTTTTTAAACTAGAGATTTTAAATTTTTTTAATAAAGTCATTTTGCCTTCTGATATGCTGTCACCTCCCAATCCCCAAAAATAAGGCCAAATGGCTTTAATTAAATTAAGACAGTGTTTAGTAATTTAAAATATCTAGCACACCTGTGGCAGTATTGCGCTTCCCAAACAGTAGCTTCCTTTTGTTCTTGAGTGTACCCTCATCACTTTCCCATGTGGCTTTGAGTCAGGAGGCTAGGACGTCTATCTGTTTTTGCTGAGCTGTAAACTTGGCTAAGAGGATGAGATCACATGGTTCCTCATCAAGTGTTTACAGTATTGATGCATGTTATTGGGTCTTACATAACTCAGATGGTCGCCAAGTATTAATCTGATTGTCATAAATGCAGGATAGCTAGTTAGTATCTTGCCTTTCCCCCCGACCTGGGAGTTTGTGCTTCAGAAGTCCGAGGTGTGGGTGAAAACTCCACGTTAAAAAAAAAATCTGCTTCTCTGTTGGAAGATTGACCCCCCGCTGTCCCAGCTGTTTCAGAGTCTCACTCATACTAAGCCTGCCGTTTAACCTCACTAGGCCTCCTGCTGCTTTTTTTGCCTCCATTTTCTCCCATTTCATCAGCCCTCATCTTCCTTTGCTTCTTTCCTGACCAGACCTGATGGTCCATCACTTCATATCACTGTATTTCCAATATCCTTTAGTTTCCTTGTCCTCTTGCCAGGGTCAGTTGAACTGTCTACTCTCTTGCCTGCTGATCCCAGCTAGAAAAATAGCAAGATCTTACTCTCCAGATTCTGCTAGATCTCCGCATACCCTCCTAAATAATCCTGCTACCTCTCCTGGGTAGCTCCTCAGGGGATGGTCCTGCCATCCCCTCAAGTCTCTCATTCTGCAAATTTGCCTTCTGTTTTACAAAAGAAATTTAGGACGATGGAATTTCTCTCTTTCAGCTTCTCTGCCATGCTCGCCCATCCTTATTTTCTGCCTCTCTTCCCGGAGGACAGGGCATTCCTCCTCCTCTGGGTAGACTTCTCCGTCTGGGCCCTGGAACTCTTCTCTCGTTTCCCCTCTGTCTTGATTCATCATGTAGCTGTGTCTTTCCTTTGTCTTTTCCTGTGTTCTTTAGCCTTTACTGATGTACTGATTAGAAACCTGCATAAATCTGTGTCATCTTAAAATAATACATAAGAAACATATTTTCTTTTGAAACCGTGTTCGTCCATACCCTGTCACTCTAGGCTTTCCTTTCTCACTGTGTTCTTGAAAGAACCTCTTCCAGTGTCTGGAAGACCACTTCCTGAGCTTCCATTTGCTCACTGCTGTTTGCCCTCTGCCTCTACCTAACACTCCGCCTTGGACGGAACCCTCCTTCTCGACACTTTCTTTGCTTAGTTTGTCCCATTCTGATTGCTTTTCCTCTCCTTCACTTGCTTTACTCTAGTACGTACACATTTCCAGAATTTCAACTGCAGGCTGCTTTTTATACTGTCTGTGAAGAGGGTCTTCTGTTTTCTAGCTTCAAATGCCACACGTGTCGCAATATTTTACCTCTTCCCTCAAACCCGTACTCATGTACTTAACTCTCTGTTGTGTGTCTCCCTTTGGTGGTTCTCTGCAGTGTCAGTTTAGCATGTCTAAAACTGTGTACTCACCACCAGCACTCCCACCTGAGGACCTGAGAAGGGCTTTCCCATCTCAGGGAGTGGAACCAGCACCCTCCATCTGCCGCACTGGAAACCACCCCTTGCTTCCTGTGTGCCTAGCCAGCCACCCAGTGCTGCTGACTCAGCTTCCAAAGTATTTCTTAAATTTATCATTTACATCTTTACTCCTACTATTGCTGGTTTTCTTTTCCTTTTCTTTCTTTTTTGATATAAACAAGATTTTTATTAGTGAAGTTAAAAACAAAGTAGCAAAAGATAGTACACTCCTGAGAATTGGGAGCAAGCCCATCCTAGAGAAGAAAAATGGCGATTACTGGTTTTCTGGTTTTAAGTCTTTGACATATTTTATTTTTCAGTAGTCTGTAACTGGCTTCCCGTCCTCTGAGCTGAACTCCCACTTAAATTTATTCTGCAGATTGAGTTATCTAAAGTGATGTCCTGACCACTTCCCTTTCCTGCTTAAAATTCCTCAGTGGCTTTCCATCATGTGTAGGATGAAATCTGTCCTCTCTAGTGTGGCATACAAGGCTTTTACGTCACATGTTAGGCTTTTCATTAATTGTTTTTGTCCTGAGCTGAAACATCCAGTGTGGTTAAGGATGCACCATCACTCCTGTACCCCTGACACAATCCGAGGTGCTGCCTTAACAGGCAGCCTGTGAAGGTGCCAAGTGGAGGAATGATTTTTCTACTCCTTTTGAGAAATAGTTTAAAAATATTCATTTGAGGCATTACTTTTTCAGCAAAAGGCACTCTAGTTATCATTTAGCCCTTTGTGTTCACGAGGAGGTCAGTGGTGAGGACGGATATGTAATTGCAAGACGACTTTTTTGTTTGTTTTTTGTTTCTATCAATTATCTGTCTGCTTAACATTAAAAAAAATTCTTCTGACCTCCTTTTCATCCGATAATTTCTTAAACATTAATTTTTAAAAATTAAACACTTAATGGAGCATGTGCTGTGTCAAACAATATGCTGAGTGCCCTTGAAAATTCAGAAGACAGATTTCCTATCTTCACGGAGATCACAGTGGAGTGGGTGGTGAGACTGGTGGACATTACAGTAGCATGTGGTAAATGTCCATTTGCACTGCAGGGACGCTGGAAGCAGGCTCGCATCAGGTTAGTCGGAGCCCCAGATCCCCAGCTTGTTGAGGATGCTTTATGGTTTGGCTCCTGCCTGTGTTACAGCCTTACAGGTACCCTGGTCGTCCTGGGTGCCTGCTTTCTTCTGACCACAGTACCACCTATCATGACCTTTGTCTCTGCACCTACCCTTTTATCTGTCTCAAGTGCCTGTTTCTACTTTTTGCTTAGCGCACTGTTTCTGCTCGCCTTTTAAAATGCCAGCTCAAGTGCTGCTTCCTGCCCTGCCTGACCCAGAAAGGTAGTGGCTCCCTGCTCTGTGCCAATGGAACTCTTCTCATACTCTAATATAAGGTTCATCAAAATGCATTGTCTGTTGGCATCGCTGTCCTTCCCTTAGACTCATGACTCTTCAGAGGAGCATCCTGTGACTTAGTCATCTTTACACCATGATACTTAGCTGGTATATTAGAGCAAAACACCCAATATGAGCCTAATTTAACTTTACTATTTTATTTACCACTTCTTTTGGTTAATACACTAGTATACTTTTTCACCTGCTTCATACTTAGACCTGCAGCATTCTTTATCTTCCTTTAGTGCAGTTCATTCAGCTCACAAGAGGCTTAGAGCACCTACTATGTGCTAGGTATTGTGTCAGGCACGGGGAATGCAAGAATGAAAAAGGTCCATCCCTGCTGGGAAGGAGCTCAGAGTGGAGGGAAGATAGATCATTAAACAGACAGTCTATCACAATTTCTACTAAGTAGACAGAATGAAAAATGCTGTCACACGGGGAAGCCCAGGAGCTTTGGGGGGCACACAAGAAGTATAACTTGACCAGTTGGTTGGAGGCAGAGAGGGCTTGCTGAAGGCACTGTACTCTGAGTTGGATTTGAGAAAGGGGCAGCATGGAGGGGTGTGAGAGGACCAGATGCTTGCGGGAAACTGTTCAGTGTGAATGGATAGGGCCTGAAGCAGAGAGCTTAGACTCGATCTGTAGACAGGAACCAGGTTGGGAAGGACCTTATGTCACACTGATGAGCTTTGCACTTTTTCCTGAAGATGGTGAAGAGCCCCTGAAAAACTTTAAGCAAGTTGTAATCAGAATTCTGTTTTTAATGTTTAGTAATTTCTTGTGCTTCCTTCCCTCCCCCTTTTTCAAATACTGTCACATTCATTCTGATTCTTTCCCATGTTTGCAAGTGAAGTTTTGAGTTTTTCCTTTGTTTGATCACTTGGAGTGTTCTTGAACACTTAATGTCACTATAACCTCTTACCTCTAACCGTTTATGGGAAAGCATTAGATAGACACGCTCTATCAGTTTTGCCAGGATTCTCTGTGTTAAGTTATTGCTTGAATTTTGAGTTATCTTTCTCTCTTAATGAACTGTTCCAAGTTTGGTTTTTTGTCTTATTTACCAATGAACTCTTGTCTGGTGGGATACATAAGGAATTACTACAATGATTAGTACAAATCAAAATACTTGCCAAGCCAGAAGTCTAGCATCCTTTTTGAAATTATTAAATGATGGACACAAGATTCCTGAGAAGCCAGAAAGGTTTAATTCCATGAATGACTTTATTTTAATGGTGTTACATGTGAGACCTTAAATTGGTTTGTCTTTAGGTAATTTTAAAATAGGCAGATCTTTGCAACTTAAATTTGAGGTTTCTGTGAAGTCTCGTTGCCCCTGAGCAAGATTCACCAGCTGGTTGTGTGAAATTGAGCCCTAGCTATTTACCTTCTTGGGCTTAAATTTCCTCATCAAAATAATGCAGGGCTTGTGTTAGATGATTTCTAAAGTCTTTTCCTGTTTTATGAGTTTTGTATCCTACATCTAATAATTTTTTCCAAATTATCTTTTGTGTAGTGCTCACATGGTCTTCTGAAGAAGCCATGGGTAGCTGTTGTAGCTGTCCAGGTAAAGACACTGTCCCGGATACCCATCGGAACAAGTTTAAGGTCAGTAAACCTGCCTCCCTGGGCGCTCTTCTTTTACGTCGCTTGCCATATCTTACTGCTTCCTCGCTTTTATCTTTGGACCCTTTTATTTTCCTTTTTGTCCGTTCTGCCTTTTCTTGTTTTAAGAAATGATGACATTTTCTTACTGACAGTGTGAAATCCTCCTCTCATTTTCCTTTGGTCTTCCTTATCCAATTAGCCACACAGTTCTGGTAATAGTGTCTTTAAAATTCCATTTTTAAGGTGTCTCTTCAGTCCTGTCACCACCTCCCAGTCATTGTTTAATGGCTGGGCAATTTCTTAACTGGACTCTACCTCCAGTCACCTCTGTGATCCACCCTTCAGTTGACATCAAATTAATCTTCCTCTTTCATCATTCTAAAACTTCGGTGGTGTTGTGTTACATAGAGGCTAAATGCTCCATTCCTTACTCATCCACAGCCAGAGTGTCTCTCATACTCTGACCTCAATCTGTTATGAATCATAGCCTCTGGATCACACAGACCTAGGTGTAAGTCACAGCCCTCTTGCTTCATAGCTTTGTGACCATCAGCAGGTTGCCTTATCACTAAGTCTTTGTTCATTTGTATGCAGTGGATAAAATAGTATTACCTGCAGTTTAGGATCGGTAAGAGTATTAAATGACAAAAATATGGGTAGAAGCACCTTGCCCAGTCCCAAGGGTATAGCAAGTTCTCCCTAAGTGTCATCTGTTCTTCATAATCTCTGGCCATTTTCTGCAGCTCAGCAGTACAGAACCTTCCCTTGCATGAACTCAGTGCCAGTCTTGTCCTGGTCTCTCTGGAACGTCCCTTCTTTGTCTCTGCTAAAGCACTGGGCCTTCAGGATGTGACCCCTAACTCCTGACCCACCAGCTGCCCTTCTTAATGTTGTTTCTCCTGTCTAATTCAGTCGTACCCGAGGCCCAGCTCAGGTCCCTCCTCTTAGGTGAAGGCTTCTCCAGAAACCCAAGGCCCCAGTTCCTGCCTTTGTCAGCTAATTGTACACAGTTTTGTGTACTGACTTCGTCTTTGTGTGTCGTGTCTCCTCGATGGGAGTGTGAGTTCTTGCGGATGTAACCGGGTGTCACACTGCTACATCGTCCATGCCCTGCACACACAATCAATGAGTGACCTAAACAGGAGTCAGCAACTGAACCCATTAGAAACAGTACATTTTCCTGACAAACCGGTGAAATACGCGTGTGACTGTCAAGTGGGAGCATCGAGTTAGTGCTAATTAAACGTTCTTTTTAGGTCATTAATGTGGATGATGACGGGAATGAGTTAGGTTCTGGCATAATGGAGCTTACAGACACAGAGCTGATTCTATACACTCGCAAACGGGACTCGGTAAAATGGCACTACCTCTGCTTGCGACGCTACGGCTATGATTCGAATCTCTTCTCTTTTGAGAGTGGTCGAAGATGTCAAACTGGACAAGGTAGGGGGAGCCTTTATTTTTTTTCTCCAAAAAGTTTCAAATTTGAAATATTCTTCTTTCAGTTACTCTCTCTCTATATAACTAATTAATATTTTACTTCCTCCTCATGGGAAAAAATTCTCACATAAGTGGATTATTAAAGAAAGATGCAGTACACTACATATTCATGTATCAAGCATATCCTCTGCAGAGTTTTGGCTCAATATTAACTTTAAGATTTGTAGTAAGTGATTAGTCCCAGTAAATCGCCTGTGTGTCTTTACTGGTAATAACTTGAGGGAAAGAACCTAAACTTTGGAATCAAACAGAACATAGTTTGGGTTTTTTTTTGCCACCTACTGCTTGAAAGTCTTTGGGCAAGTTACATGACCTCTGTCTCTTCAAATTCCTTCTCTATCAGAGGGGAATGGTAATCCCTACCTTAGGAGTTAGTGTAATGATTAAACAAGATAACGATTGTGAACCACCGAGCAGGGGCCTGTCACATGGTAAAGGACCTCCTTCGGAAGGGTGAGTTGGGCTCCCTCTACTGTTAAAATGCGAATCTTGTCTTCTTCATTTTGAGCCATCGCCCATGAGCCAGTGACAGTTACTCTGTGAACTTTTTCTTGGGTTTATGTTTTAAAACAGGGAATATCGTTAATGTATCAGACATTCATTCTAAAGGCCTTTCTTGCTGTTGGTGCACAGAATGCTTCCTTTGCAATTTTGTTCTTTGACAGGTGCTCCTGTGTCTTTTTTAAAGATGTAGTAACCGTTTTTTTCTTCTGGCTTTATATTTGTAGGAATCTTTGCCTTTAAGTGTGCTCGTGCAGAAGAATTATTTAACATGTTGCAAGAGATTATGCAAAATAATAGTATAAATGTGGTGGAAGAGCCAGTTGTTGAAAGGAATAATCATCAGACAGAATTGGAAGTCCCCAGAACACCTCGAACACCGACTAGTAAGTGCCCATTTTCCCTCTTCTGTTATCAACTCTAGATTATGGACATTTAATCTAAAGCACGTTAGAAATTACCATTGGCTAACATAAATAAAATGGCTTTGAGTTTTAACTACTGTTAGCTATGATTATAAACATTTTTAGTATTTAAATATGAAAACATTAAATAGTTCATATTATTTAAAATCTGAGTAGAAAGTTGGAGTAGAATGAATTTGCGATGGGGCCACTGTTTGTGCTGTTTCTGCTGTGTCTTGCCAGAAGCACTTCCCTTAATCCTCTCAGGGCTGACTCTATTCTCATTCATTTTTATTCTCTCTGCCCTGCCCTTTTATCCTGCTTTTCTTCTTGAACCACTAAACAAAAACCCAGCTCCGGGGTTTGCTGCTCAGAACTTACCCAATGGGTATCCCCGATATCCCTCATTCGGAGATGCTTCATCCCATCCTTCAAGCAGACATCCTTCTGTGGGAAGTGCACGCCTGCCTTCAGTGGGTGAAGAATCTACACATCCTTTGCTCGTGGCTGAGGAACAGGTAAGCGTGTGCTGCTGAGTATTGCGCGGGGTGCAAATGTTTGCTGTGCTAATACTCAAAAGTTTTAGTTAGTTTGAATTTTAGCTGTCACTGTTTGTATGTGACTTTTGTAGTGAAGAATCAGAGGAAATAACATATATTTGCTGACATGCCCAACCCTGTTATAGGTATTGAGGGAAACTTAGCGTATAGTCAGTTTGTGGGTTCACAGGTGAGGGGCATCTGTAGATAAAGAAAGGCATAACTAATGGCTAATTCTGTTACAGTAGCCTCCAGTGGGTGCTTTTCATAGCACAGTTTTTACAATTAGTAGACCACTAGCAGGAAGGCAGGTTCTGTTGTCAATGTTTCATTTAACAGAGCTATTTAAAATTCCTGACTGTTCTATTTTCAGAAATGAAGTATCTGACTGAAGGTTGTCCATGTATTACTTAGTTATCTTTTGTATGGTTGTTTAATCAGTAAGAAATTTTTACTGTTTTAAAGTCCATTTCTCTGTGTTCTTTACTTGGTAAATGAGTTTTTATATTATTTGCTGTGGTTTCATATCTTTCAGTGTTGAATTTTGAGTTTTTCAGATTTTATGAATAGACTTCTAAACATTTTTAAATTGTACCCCCAGAATACCATTGAGTAGTAACTAGTAGTTAGTAAAAAAGTAAGTAGCGATAATTTCCTAGTAGGTGGCCTTCATTTTATATCTGTGCATTTTACACAACTGTTATTAAACCTAATAGGGTTTGTCTCTTTCTGTAGTCAGATCATCTATACATAATAATAAATTTGTCTCTTTTTAATACTTGTTATTTCTTGTTTCTAAATCATGTTTCAATGCATTGATGAGAATTTCTAGAACAGCATCAAAGTGACAATCCCTATTTGTTCCTGACTTTTTACAGGATGCTTATCATGTTTCACCATCAAGTGTATTTTAAAGTAGATATTCTTTTGTCAAACTAGGAAGACATTTTTACATTCCTCCCCTCCCCCAACCTTTTTATTAGTTTAAAAAAAATGTATGAACAACAAATTTCTACTGTGCAGCACAGGGAGCTGTATTCATTATCTTGTAGTAACTTATGGTGAAAAAGAATATGAAAACGAATATATGTACGTTCCTAAATGACTAAAGTATTGTGCTGTATACAACATTGTAAACTGACTATACTTCAGTTAACCCCCCCCAAAAGAAAAAAACAGGTACAAAGCTTTCAAAGTAAGAATATATTTGGAGAGAAAATTATAGAATGAATTGATGTAGTCAGGCAAATTTTTTTCTGTGTTTTTGTTTGTTTGTTTGTTTTTTAAGCAAGTTATTGATTCCCTTTTCCTGTTTTGTTTTAGGTACACACCTACGTCAACACTACAGGTGTGCAAGAAGAGCGGAAAAACCGCACAAGCGTGCACGTCCCGTTGGAGGCGAGGATTTCCAACGCTGAAAGCAACACGCCGAAAGAAGAACCAAGTAGTATTGAGGACAGGGACCCTCAGATTCTTCTTGAACCCGAAGGAGTCAAATTTGTCTTAGGACCAACCCCTGTTCAAAAGCAATTAATGGAAAAAGAGAAACTGGAACAACTTGGAAGAGATCAAGTCAGTGGAAGTGGGGCCAATAACACAGAGTGGGACACTGGGTATGACAGTGATGAACGAAGAGACGCGCCCTCCGTTAACAAATTGGTGTATGAAAATCTAAATGGGCTGTCTGTCCCCAGTGCCTCGGGGCTTAGGAGAGGTCGCCTACCATCCACCAGTACCTCAGAGACCCAGAACATCAACAACTCAGCTCAGAGAAGAACTGCATTATTAAACTACGAAAATTTACCATCTTTGCCTCCTGTTTGGGAAGCCCGCAAGCTCAGTAGGGATGAAGATGACAATTTAGGACCAAAGACCCCATCTCTAAATGGCTACCATAATAATCTAGACCCAATGCATAACTATGTAAATACAGAGAATGTAACAGTGCCGGCAAGCGCTCACAAAATAGACTATTCGAGGCGTCGGGACTGTACACCGACGGTCTTTAACTTTGATATCAGGCGCCCAAGTTTAGAACACAGGCAGCTCAATTACATACAGGTCGACTTGGAAGGTGGCAGTGACTCTGACAACCCTCAGACTCCAAAAACGCCCACCACGCCGCTTCCTCAGACCCCGACCAGGCGCACAGAGCTGTATGCGGTGATAGACATCGAGCGGACTGCTGCCATGTCCAGCCTGCAGAAGGCGCTGCCTCGGGATGACGGTACATCCAGGAAAACGAGACACAATAGTACTGACCTGCCCATGTGAGCCCGGGAAGCATTCATTACATTGTTTGCACCTTTGTGAAGTTTTCAAAAAAAAAAAAAATGAAGATGCAAGTGCTTCATTTTAGTTTCTAAACACTAACTCCTTTTATAGACTGATAAACAATTTTTTTCTGAATATTTCATGTGCTTCTTTAACTAAAGGGAATTAATGTAGAGCAGGTACTCATCAAAGAACACTAATTTCATTACCTACTGCTCATGACTGTACAGCAGCGTTCCCATTCTCACAGTGCCTATTTAAAATGAGAGTTGGAGTGAGTGACATGCTGGTCGATTTGTATCAAGATTTGGGACTCATGCATGTCGTTCATGTCTAAGTCATGGTTGGCATTTAAAACATTTTATAAAGCCTCTTGATAATGTGCATTGCTAACGGATAACTCTAGGCTTTGAAAGTAATATTTGTAGATTCACTATTCATGGTATGTGGCCTCCAGCATGTAACATGAGGAATCCTTTCTTTCATTAACTGTAGGCTTTTTGACTTGAGCCAAAACGTATGTAAAGGAAATAGAAGTACCACACCTCCTTATACCAGTCAGTTCCTTTGCCTTCGGCGTTTCTAGAATGAGTCCCGTGTTCGTGAATATGGTTTGCCATGGGTGTCTTGAAAGGCAAGAAGGAGACAAGATTTTGTTTTCTCATCTCATGATGTCATTTGAAGGGCATGCCCATATATCTTAATCAGAATTGCAGTAGGCTCAAGATTCAGTCTCAGGTCACTTTACCCAAAAACATTTGAAAATCTGAACCATGATCTCTTGAAAGTTTCTCTCCTGTAGATTATTAACAATAAATAACATTGTTCTCTGGAGGCATTTGTGCCATTAGGTTGCCATGTACCTTCAGTTTTTTTCCTTTGGTGTTTGGGATGTCTAATTTTGTTGCTTCATGTCTTTTTCAATTTAAAATGTTTGAGTTTGTATATAGTTTTGAAATTGGGTTATGTGTTCATTGTTGTTTAGTTTGCATTTTTGTCAAATTGTGGTTTTGAAGGTTCATTTGGAACTTACTGTTATTCTATAACAGGGTTACCCTTGTCCAGTATTTATTTATATGCTGTTTACTTTGCTAGTTGATAAGAGCATTCTCTCAGTTTTCAGTTTCACTTGTGTCCATAGGTGATCTCTCTAGCAGCTAAGAAAAAAAAAAAAAAAGAAAGCTACTTTTAACGCGCAAAGTTCCCTAAAGGTACTGTGTTTTCCCTGTGGGCACTCCCCCAGCACTTTAGCAGTGATTCCCTCAGTCACGTGGCTGCAGCTGTACTTGGCCCACCGTAGCGCTCCTCAGCTCCGCTGTCCTTCCACTTGTAGCTGAATCTTTCGATTAGCCCTCGATTTCAGTATAATGTTAAGATTGTTGCCAGCATAGCAGGTACAGTGGAAGTCTTGTAGCAATGAGATTGTGTCATAATTTAGGATTGAAAATGAAGTTTATATGAACTGATGAGAATCTGTATGTCTGTCTCTTGGAAAATCAAGAATTTTCCAGTTTCCCAAGCCCTAGAGGAGACAAGAGAAGGTAGAGTAGAAAGAAGATTAAATAACCTTGCAAAATATTTCCTTGTTTCCTCTAAATATGGGGAAGTTTGAGATTATGATCTGGATCTACCAGATGTAACGAAGGTTAATTTAGCATGAAAAAGTTTCAGTCATATGGCATTTAGTCTGTTCCATAAATGACCTAATTATAGGACAGTGAATGGATTAGCAAAATATAGGGAGGGACCATTGTAAAGAAAATACACTATTAAAGGGTGTCTTTATATTTTCAGTGCCATTGGTTTATGTGCATAGCAGAATTTTCTTCTTTTTTTCTGTGAATTTGGTGCTTACTAAAGTGTTCACTGTTCTCTGAAAAGAGAGCAGTGGTATAAGGTGTGCAGTTTCCATTTTTAATGTTATTGTTCCACTTTTGCTTTCTTCTGAGTAGATTGCTAATCGTGCCAAATTTGTGTGATGATTTTTGTAACATGGAATAAGAATTATGATGGAACCAGTGCACATGGTTTTCTCTGAAACAAGCAGTCAAGACAGAACGTTAACCTCCAAATGAAAGGGCTGACCTATTTATTCAGTTTGGAGGTTGGATACTTTATTTTCTTTCTTTTCCTCATCCTTTTCATTTTTCCTTCCAGATTCTAATTAATTTTTGTATTTTTAAAGCAACTCCAATATAACCATTGCAGTTTATGCTTTAAATACTGTGTGCTTTAAAAATGAAAATGGGACCAATTTGTCTGCTAAGAATTTGATTTTAGGTACTATGAGTGTTAGAAAGATGTATACAACTGGTGTTAATTTCTAGATGTCTCTGGAAATCACCCATGTTCCTATTTAATAAAAAGTGATGTAGAACACTATTTGTCCTTTGCGGTAGTCCAGTAATGGGCAGTAAGCTCTGTCCTGGAAGAATGTACCTATTAGTAGGTGCATTTTAGAATGAGATATTTTATTGGGATGTAATTGTGGCCATATGTTTCAGATTTTCTGAGACAGACTTAACTTTAGATATTCTGTTCTGTTGATAGACCATGTGATCCCACTTTTCGGTTTGGGAAATACAATCGTCATTCATATGTTTTCCCCTAACAGAATCTCTTTTCTCTACGTAGCTCATAACAGCTTTTATCCCAGACCAGGGTTGGAAACTGACATGGGTACCACCTGTGCTTTCTCTTAGTGTGTTTCATTTCCCAGTTTTATCTTCCTTTAAAAATGAAAACATGGTGCCTTCCCTCCCTCCAGGAAGATTGGCAAATAGTTCCTTTTATTTACTGCTGCTGTGGAGTGATGAGATATGCACTTTACTCTTGAAGACTCAGCAAAAAGCTTTTCACTTCTCAGTATATCCAGAATAGATCACATTCGGGACTTAAGAAAATTTGCCAAGCAATCTTTGTTTTTTATAGATATTAATGTTGACCCCACAGTTCAATGTTATATGTCAAGCTAGTGTTTGTTTCCTCCCCTCCCCCAAAATAGATCTGTGGCACAGCATATAAAAATGTACCTCAATAATGTTCTATTAAAAATGGGACAGGGGCCTTATGTTTTCATAATTTCCTAATAATGTGCCACCGTATTTTTGCCTCAAGGTAAAGGTTTTAACAAGCTAAAAAGTACTTCCCACTTCCCCTTGTGCTATTCCTAACCTGTAATGCCCAAGTGTTTTGTGCAATGTGTAGTGTGTGTGTGGATATATATATATATATGTATGTTCTGTATATACATATATATATATATATATCCTTGAAATAGACATACCATCAGAGACAACATTCAGAAGTAACTGATGTATTGGCATCTCTTTCATATGTGAGGTATATGGTACTACTTACCTGTTCCTTGATGTTTGCCAAATTTGAATAAAGGCATTGGTACGAAATCACAGAATGTATAGGAAATGTTCTTGGCTTGAAAAATTAACAAATATTTTATGACATACCACAGGAGACTCTGCCCAAAGCAGCACCCTATCCATTTGTCTTTCCTCTTCTTTAAATCCCTCTTCCCCATCCCTCCTTCCTCTCTCTTGGTTGTTGTTGTTTTTTGGGTTTTTTTTTTTGGTATAACAATTCTTTTGTAGCATCATTACAATTACAATTCTATGACAATTGGACAATAATAGCATGGAAACAGACTGGTATTAATAGTACAGTAGTCACCGGTGTGCCACATTTGCATTAGTAAATGCAAAATACACATTTTATAAAGGACAAATTTTGTGTTATGTTTTTATTTTCATTACCTTGTATAATACTGTAAGATTATTGTATGTCCTAATTTGCATTATAAATGTTTTTTTCCTACGTAAAGGCATAAATATAGCAACTTTGTATAAAGGTAGCTTACTAGATTTTTAATTTTTTCTTTTATAAAAAATTGTCTAACAGTGGGACTACCATTGCCAAATTGTATATGAAATATGAATTTTACCCCAGATGGTTAATTTCTTTTATAAACATTCCATATTTCTCTAATAAAAGACAAGTGATACTGTACTATGCATACAATTGTATTTTAATGCTGTTTCATATCAGCATTTTAAATTTTGGTTTGCATTTTTAATATTGGCAAAATCTACCACTGTTGATTAAATCTTGTTGTATATGTAACAACATCTTTTGCCCCCTACCCCCCACCACCACCCTTGTTCTCTTTCTCCCTGTCAGTGCCAACTTCATACATTTTGTAGCATGGCAATAAAATATAACTTTTACACTGAGGCCAAGTGTGGCTTTTTGGAGGATGTGGAAATGGGAGGATCACCCTCTAGTTGTTCTTTGCATTTGACTTTTTGCCATATAAACCATGTTCCCAGGCATGAGGAAGTTATTGCGTATATGATGTGAACATGCTTTTAAGGACAAGTGTGAATGTGCTTTGAAGCTTAATTTTCGTCCTAACAAATAAGAACTAATTTTTTTTTATCTTTGGAAAAGTCAGAGTTGTTGAAGTACAATCAAACCTTTATTAACTGGAGTACTTAAAGAATAAGCTAATAATTGAATTCAGTTCAACAAGGGCTCAGCAACACATTTTTTTAAATCCTTATTTATTGTTAGAGTATCACTATCCTGTCCTAGAAATTATATGTAAAATATAGTTTAATCTTAGATGATTTAGGATCTTGCAATGCCTTACTTTTGTCATTCTGGCATAAATTCCCACAATGAAGTCTTCAAGTTGATACTGGAAGCCAAGCTGACTATACACTAACCTTAAGCGTTCATGGAAAACTACTCTGTTGAATAAAATCTGATCGGAGTTCTTATGGTTACTTTCCCATTATTGCCGAAAGTAGATTGCAATAAAACCTCAATAAAAGTTTGGTTGAATACCTATTTAAAGTTTTACTGTATTTATATTTCACACATTTCTTGAAACTATATGATAAGAGGTTTTCTTAGTCTCGTATCACTGCCTCCATTTTCCAAGTGAACATATAATGGGTCAAGGATCATGTTTCAAAGTGAAATGAAATTTTAAGTATCTGACAGACTCACAGTTTTTAATCTTCATGGACATTCTAACTCGTAGTTCTCAGCTCTGTGACTCCAAACCTGTTTTTAGTCACTAAGTGTCACAGCAAAGCCTATTGGGGTACAGCTCAAGACGGAGATCACTTCAATAATGAAGGGGGTAGACAGGGCCACAGATGACTGGGTGCTTACCATGTGCCACACACCATGGAAAACATACATCAGTTAAGAGGTGACAGAGATCACATCTTGGAAAACTTAGGTATTTGTTCTCAGAAATTAAACACCTCTTTGGATTAATTCTGAATTTTTCCTTTGAGTTCCTCGAAGACAGTAGCTATTCACATGTTCTTATTTAATGAATGAGCACGAACTAGGCCCTCTGCTAGTAATAAAGATAGCAGTCCTTGTCCTCAAAAGAATTTGTAGTTTAGAACAACCCTTCTAATGGTGGCAGTCCCCTTCCTCCCCGCAGAGAACTAAGCCTTAGGACAAATTATATATAATGTCACCTTCTCTCTGGTATCTCTAGAATGGTGGTAGCAATATACCTTAGGAGAACTGAAAAAATTGTCACTCCAGTTCCCAATATGTGGTGTGATAAAGGCACATACAAAGAAAGGGCATTTAGTTGGGTGGGGGTTATAGCTCAATGGTAGTAGCGCCTGATCCCCAGCGCCTCCGTTAAGGGGGAAAAAAAAGAAGAAAGGGCATCTAACTCAGCCTAAGGATGGACATTTTCGAGAAAAGCTGGAGGTGTCTTTAATCCCTGAGGTGTTTAATGAGAGCTTTCATCACAGATTAGAGCAGGAGGGGAGAGGATGTCTTCAGGAGAATACCATGCGCAAAGGCACAGAGGGGCAGAAAGTTCAGTGACAGCAAAGTTCCATGTGACCAGCATACGAGGTGGGGGTGGGGAGATAGAGAAGAAGGGAGACGTGAGAGAAGTGAGAGGTGTAGAACGTGAAGGAGTTTCTGTTTCAGTCTAAATGAGGTGAGAATCTGAAGGGTTTTAAACGTTGGAGAAATAAGTTTATTAAGATGACTGACATCAACATGGAGGATATGGCAGAGGAAGTGACATTTTAACAAAGCAGGGAGACTGAAATGGAAGTGAAACTGGATAAATGCCTATTTGAAAGCATTGTTCAAGGACTGTGAGGTTATCTGTTGCTATGCAACAAGCCACCCTAAAACCTGGTTTAACACAAGTCATTTTTTATTATATCTCACATTGCTATAGATCAGGGTGGGCAGGCCAGTGGAACCCACCCCAAATCGCAAAGCTGGTAAATGAGAGAGTTGAAATCCAAACCCATGCAGTCTTGTTCCTGAAGGTGAGTGTTTAACTCCTGGGACACAGGGGTGACACCAAAGGAGGTAGAAAAGGATGAAAGGTCAAAAACCCACGCCATAGAGAAAGGACAGTTTGCTGCAAGTTCCCTCATAGTGGACTCCTGGCTTCTCTGGCTCAGCTCCACAGGAAGCAGGGCCTGCCGCCCAGTCTCCATCCAAAAGCCCCTGGCTTTTTTCTCTTCCCCTTAATCCCCTCCAAAGCCCAGAAGGGAGGGGGCGCTGGCTTCTCCATCACCCACAGTCTCAGGTTTGCCTGCCAGAGGACGTAATAATCAGTATTCCCAGGTATGTGATTCGGCCCACAGTTAAAACAGCTGTTTTCAATATTGTGCAGGCATCCTGGCTTCTGTTTGTGACTCCTCTCATTCCACTGTGCGATTTGAGATCTGCATTTCCTCAAAGAAGAGCAAGTTTTCCCACAAAGAACACAAAAATTCTTGGTAGATTTAAAATAACAACTTGCCCAATCTGAACACCCCTTTTCTTTATGGACCTTGGAAATAGGTTAATCAGGGTCAGGAAACAGAGTAAACAGACTCTGTCACAACTACTCGTCTTCCATTGCATAACTCTGTATTGTATTGCATGGTTTAAAAATGAATGAGTTTGCTTCTGTTCCAACCAAGCTTTATGGACACTGAAATATTAATTTCATATAATTTTAATGTATCACAAATGTTTTTATTTTTCAACCATTTAAAGATGCAAAAATCATTCTTAACTCTCTGGCCATACAAACCCAGGTGGCAAGTTGGATTTGGCTCCCAATAATTTGTCAACTCCTGGTGTAAACTCACCCTCTTAGAGTATATCTGAAGGGTAGAAACAATTAAAAATTTAAAACATCTATCAGTGTTTACAATTGCCAAAATCCAAGAGCTTGCTAAGCAATTGGTCAAAAGGAGAAAAAGGTATCAGTAGATGATGGAAAGCTAAATAGAGTTTTTTTTTTTAAGCACGTTTAAAACGTCCAAGGGGGTCAACTTAGAGAAAGTAGAAAACTGTTCTTCATAAACGGAAATATTTGGGATTGATCTTGTTCTCTACCAAGACATGTAAGAGGATATTAGTCATCTCTACAACAGTGTGTGTCGGGGAGGATGGGGGGCAAACGAGTGAAATGCAAAACCTCCTAAAAATGAGCAAAGAAAAGTAAATGTCTCTGACAGATCTCACAAGACCTTGTTCTGGACAGTCCAATTAAAAACGGCGTTTTAGAATTCAACCAGGGGGAGGGTGTAGCTCAACAGTAGAGTGCATGGCTAGCATGCACAAGGTCTTGGGTTCAATCCTCAGTACCTCCATTAAATAAATAAATCTAATTACCTCCCCGCCAAAAAAACAACAAAAAGAAAAAAAAAAACTGAGGGAGAGGGTATAGCTCAGTAGTAGACCGCGCGCTTAAAATGCGAGAGGTCCTGGGTTCAATCCCCAGTACCTCCAACAAAATAAATACGTAAATAAATAAATCTAATTACCTCCCCCCAAAGCAAAACAAAATTCAAACAAAGAAATGTAGGTTTTCTTCGGTATTACTCAGTAAATGTTTAAAATTAAGACAGCAATAAAATATTATTAGGAATATGATGGTAAAATCTTCAAAATGCTCAAAAAGTTTAGAGTGGTTGCTACTATGGGGAGAGGAAGTAATGAGGTTGGTGATTGTTTTCCATTGTTAGTACATAACACTTTACTCTGTATATGTAGTACTTTAAGGCAAAACTTTGTAAAGGTTAAATTTAAGAAAAGGAAAACGTGCGAGCGAGAACTCCGTTGCTGTGGCAACCCCGCGGCGCGGCGGGGCGCGGCGTCCCTCCGGTTCTCGGGCGTTCCACTCCCAAACCGCTCGGCCCCCACGCGAAGTGTCAGACCCTCCCCTTCCTGGTCCGAGCGGGCGGCGCCGCGCGGAGCGAAGCGCGAGCCGAGGCCCCGCCCCTCCAGTGTGACGGGAAGCGTTTCCGACCAGCGGGCTCCCCTCAAAACGCTGCCCCTCCCTTCCCCCGAGGGCGGTGCCCGGAGGAGGAAGCGCGCGGGCTGAGGCTCCGCCCCCTGCGGCAGAGCGTGTGGCGTCACTTCCGGCTTCTCTTCCCTGCTGTCCCGGTCGCGAGCTGTGAGGGGGTTAGCGTGTGTGCCGAACTCCTCGGAACCATGGTGAGTCTGGCTGCCTTGGCCGTGACCTAGGCCCGCCGTGGCCTGTCGTCCCCCGCAGTCCCCCGGCCCCTGTGTCTTCCCAGCGCCGCGGACTCCCGGCGTCTGTCCCCAGGCCCGCCGCACATGGCGCAGGCCGCGGCCTGTGGCCTGCGCCGGGCCGGCGGACAGGGCCCTCCCGGCGGACCGGGGATTGGCGGGGTTGGGCCTCAGGGCCAGCCTCTTCCGACCCGGCCTCTCCTCAGTCCCGGGACCCCGAGGCCCGTGGCTTATCCCGAGCGAAGAAATTTCTAGTGCACCGGGCGTGTCGGCCAGACGGGCCCCGCCCTCCCTCTTGGGGCGGAGCCTGGAGCCGCCCGAGGGCGCAGATGGAGGGAGCCGCTGCCTAGCTCCATGCGCCCGACGAGGCTCGCGCGAATGGCCTACCACCCCCGCCTGCCTTACCCTTAGTTTAAAAACTCGTGTTTGGTCTTGCCGTGCTTACAGTCAGTCTCTCTGGCATAGAATTTTAATTGCTGGAGCTCTTGTAGGTCCAGAAAGCAATGTCACCTGAGTCCCTCCCTCCGCTTTAAATAAATGACTACCCCAGTGATGCAGAGCTTCATTTGTTCGAGAAATTTCACTGTTCTGTAAATTAATTTTCTCTTAGATACTGTAAGTCTAGTGGAAGGTATCTAAGTGTATGTATTAAAGAATACCGCTACTGAGTATTCAGACTGATTCTTGGTTTTCCTTTTCAGGCGTCCCTTTCCCTCGCACCTGTTAATATCTTCAAGGCTGGAGCTGATGAAGAGAGAGCAGAGACAGCGCGTCTGGTAAGCCTTGTTTTTCCCATTCTTTTAAAGATATAGTAGTTTTTTTTTTAACAGCTTTAAGACCTTGAAGTTGATTTTGACTGTCTCTTTGATTTTCGTCCCCAGTCGTCTTTTATTGGTGCCATCGCTATTGGAGATTTGGTAAAGAGCACGTTGGGACCCAAGGGCATGGTAAGAAAAACGGGGAATTTTAATAATTGTTTTAGAGCCCTCAGTAGAAATACAATAACACACTTTTGAGGGATGTTTTTTGATCTTTAAAGCTCAGCTGTTAATTATACAAGTAAGATGTGTCTCTGCTAAAAATCAAAATGGTACCTATACAGCTAAAGTCCCCTTTGACCACCATTCCCAATGCCACTTCTCTCCCCAGTGACAGCCACTGTTAGCATTTGGATATAAGTATTCCCAACATTTTTGCTTTTATGTAGATGTATGTGTATCTAATGTATTATGTACTTTTATGTATTCTCATTGTGACAGATGATGTTTTGTCATAGGTGTTGTTTGTGTGTCCTTTTTCTGTAGTTCGGTTGTTTAAAT